ACCGCCTTTTGCGGTACTACTGGTATGGTATATGTTCTAGATATTCCCTTATTAAGGGCAACTATAGTTTATGATATTTAACATTGAATATCTAGAACAACAGATGCCATGCCAGGTGGAACGTTACAACATCTACCTGGCACATCTTCCTGACTCTTGGAGGGTAGAACTGGATCGGATTGATTGGTTGCAGGGGTTACTAACCTACCTGGTTCATTGGAGAGTATGGACTCATCCTTAACTCCCTTAACTGGAACACCCCGGAACAGGCCCATGGATTTACATCAGGTTTACACCGGATTTGCAAGAAACAAGGATTGAACCATAGATGAACGGCCTCATTTTCCTTCCACTTTTGTGTGAATATGAAGGGTCAACTGGCTGCTGCATCCTGTGATCAAAGATGGTGATAGAAAATCAAAGAAAATCCAACTTGTGTTTCTTCCGATTGGCGGATCACATCTGTGTTTCAAATGGTGTGGTCTTCCAAATTCTGTTGGTTCCCAGGTGAGATCAGCCTGTAGTGGGATGCTCCTGCACCATGATTCCAGCAGACATAGCTGTTATGTCCTGCCATCTCTAATATGGCTTTGATTGAAACAAATGGGTATCCCCAAAATTCTCAAATTCATGGTTTATCAACTGGTTGGTGGTTTCAAATTGACAGGTGGGTGATTTATCCCTTGTTCATCTAACATAGTTATGATTCTAAGCTTTGATGCTATGGAAAAGGGCTCCTTTGTAATTAGATGGTTTACTTCTTAAACATGGTAGCTTTTCAGTTCGGAAGCTCTTTCGATCACCAGAGGGTTAAAAAAACCTCCATCGGATGTCCGACAAAAACATCCGGCTCACAGCGGGGGCTGTTAATTGACAGCGCCCCTGCCTCTACGTCAGCGACACGGATCCATCGATTTATCCTACCGAACAGCGCATAATTTGTCTATGCCATGCGAGCTTGAACGTTCAATTTTACTTGGAGATTTCAGTCCAAGGATCTGTGGGGGCGGCCAGGAGATACCAAAGAAATCGTCCAAAATCCATGGTGACATCCCGGGAAGTACCGGTAGGGTTGGCATTTACAGCATCTTCACCGTGTCTCAGTGTCTCCCACGTTATTTTTCTTGTTTTAACCTCGCCTTTGCTCAATCAGATGCGAAGGAAACATTTGGAAGCCACCAATCATTGCAGGTCGACGTGGCTGTCATGGGTATGGGTAATGGTTAAGATCCATGATGAACATCTGCCAGCTATTTTGGGGTTCACCTGGCTTCGCTAGGTAGGGTCATCAGGGTTTTGACTCATAGCCGCTAGTATCGCTAGTGGATCCAAGAGCCTACCGTTTGGTAAACTAACATAGCTGTGAAAAAGCACCATTTGGAATAGGTAAATCAACTGTTAATGAGTCATTTTCAATAGCTATGTAACAAATTATCAGAGGGTACCCAGAAACTCCAACCTTTGTTATTTAGTGAAACCGTTCTTACTTAGTGAAACCTCTCCTAATCAACCTATCTTATTTAAGAGAGATTGCCTTAATTAAGAGTTTTCCTTTCTTAATTAAGAAAATCATCTTTAATTAAGGTAATATTTAAGAAAGGTTCTGCTATTTAAGGAAGGTTTTCTTAATTAAGAAAGGTTCCTTAGTAACAATCTTCCTTAATTAAGCTAACCTTCCTTAAATAATTTAAGCGAGGTTACCTTAAATGTTAAATAAAGGAGGTTGGAGGTTCTGGGTAGTTCAACAATCTCAGTGTTCCAAGAGCCACCCAAAAGTGGTGTGGTTAAAATAACCCCTGGTCCGTTGGGGCTTCTGATTTGCAGACAGCTGAACATGTGAGCGAAGATATATGGCGGATGAAGCCACCAACGAGAAAATGGAAACACACAGTATATAATAGTATGATAGTATATATATATACTTTGCCAAGCCCCTGGCTGGCTTAAAACGTTTGGCCAGTTTTGGTGCTTGGGGGGGGGTGGTGCACGACTGGTGCAAACCTGGTGTCTGGCCATTTTTTGTGCATCGACTAGCTGGTGTTGGAAAACCCCTTTTTTGGTGTCAAATTTCAATTTTTTGGTGAAAAGTTGGTGCTGAAAATCCATTTTTTGGGGTTCAGAATGCATTTTTTGGGGTTCGGAAACTTTGATGAAACTTCTTGAGGGTTTCCATGAAGTTGCCAGGGAAGCATGGAGGTGGTGAAGTCAACGATGTGTGTGTTTTTATTTCCCCCCCTTGCACCAAAACTGGCCAAACTTTTAAAGCCAATCAGGGGATATCTAAACAGATTATTGTTTTTCAGACCGTCTTAGGCTTCGTGTTATCATCAATATTCACATGACAACTTTACACACAGGCTCAAGGACGAAAAAATGATAGGCACCGTGTAAGTGCCCTCTGCCATGTTTGACATGGCTTTGAGTGGGCTTTACCAACATGGCAATGCATTTCCGCTTTTCGAAAAATAAAAAACCATCCCAATGCTCACCAAAGGCGTCACATAGCGGTAAAAATCACCAGAAATCATTCCACCCTTCAAAATCCCTCCAAACCCCTCCAAATCTTTCCAAACCCTCCAAATCCCCAAAAATCTTCCCCCATCTTTCCAAATCACCAAAAATCACCAGAAACTTTCCCAAAACCAAAACCCCCGCCCCAGCCACCCCAAAACCACCCCCCGAACCCACCCGAACACCCCCAAACTGGCCCCCACCCGCCCCAAACCCACCAAAACACTTCCCAAATCCTAAGAAATAATCCAATTCGGCAAATTTCGGGCCAAAATCTGACACCGCTTTCGGCAAATTTCAGCACCGCTTTCGGCAAATTCGGAACCAGTCGGGAACCAGTCGGGAACCAGTCGGGAAAATCCGTGCACCGCCCCAAAAGGCACAAAAATGCTGGTTTTTGCAGGGATTTGGCACTTTTTTGGTCGATTTTTGGCAAAAACCCTGCAAAAAGTGCCAAATTCGACCAAAAAAGTGCCAAATCCCTGCGAAAACAAGCATTTTTGTGCCTTTTGGGGCGGTGCACGGATTTTCCCGACTGGTTCCCGACTGGTTCCCGACTGGTTCCGAATTTGCCGAAAGCGGTGTCAGATTTCAATTTTTTGGGTGTCAAAAAAACGCGCTGTTTCGGGCTGAAACCGGCTGAAACCAGACCAAACCCTTCCCAATCTCTAGGCTTTGTGGTAATTTTCCCGTTGGATTGACACTTCGAAAGGGGTTAAAAAGCGCGCCCTTTTTGCGTCCAAAAAGGATCCCAAAAACAGAGAAAAAGGGCGCGACCTAAAATCCCAAACCAAACAGAAAATTACCTGCGCTCTCATCTGTTGAAGATTCCGCTTCCGAGAGCGCGGATTCTGACGATAGTTCTGTGCCATTGAGTCAACAGATTTTGTTGGGCCAGTTGGGTCACAGGTTTTGTTTCCAATTTCAAGCTTCCGAAAGCCCGGCAGTTTCACTTGACAGTTTCACGGTTTCACAGCATCTTCTGGATCCGGGTAGAATGTGGTCATGTTGGGCCAGAGCGAAAGGGTTGCGGCTGTGTTCCCACAAGGGGGTGTTCCTTGTTGTAAACTGTTAAAATATTGTAGTTCAAGTTGTAGCAATAGAACATTGCAGTAGATAATGGTGGCTGCAATTTGGTTCCTCCTGAGCATTGACTTCCCATATGTTGGGACTGGTTGGTTGGTTTTTGACATCCTCCAGCCCCCCAGAATTTTGACACCGTTTTTAACACCACAAAAAGGCGTTTTTAACACCACAAAAGGGATTATCAAACACCAGGCCCAAACACCAATTTTTTGATTTTGAACACCACATTTTTCCCACATGTTTTTTTCCAGCACCACTTTTTCATTTTCCAGCACCTTCCGTGCACCGCCCCCCTCCCCCCCCAGAGCCCACGTTTTAAGCCAGCTACGGGCTGGCCAATATATACTCGTATTTAGGCATACATAATGTATATATGTATATATATATATACATGTACGTAGACACTGAACATGTATGTTTGTACATATATGTGTATATCTATATATATATATGTGTATATCTATATATATATATGTATACATATATTTATATATATACATATGTACATATATATATATATATACATACACTTATATAAGACCTATACACATGTTTATCGCATATCTATAACATATCGTCCCAAATGTTGCATCTTCCCAACGTCTGTGCAGGAGGAGGGACTCATCCAGAAGCCGCTACTCTCCTGAGACGCTGATGATGTTCCTGTTCCTTTCCTTTGTGGTGCCCGTTGCAGGCCGGGTTGGTGGATACATAGAATAACATAAAAGAACTTGATACATTTGTATGAATGTCTATGTATAAAGTCCTATACATCCATATTTGTCGGTGAATATATATATATTATGTTTGTGATTTACATGGATATATATATATATATATGGTACCCCCCCGAGATCTACCTCAGAGCATTTTGATATATTGTCTCTACATGTGTATATATATATATATATAAATATAATATATATATATATTTATGTGCATATATGTATAAGAGTCAGTTATTCCCTTAAGATGTCTTGTGGGTAGTAGCTGTGCACACTATCAAAACAAGTTGGAAAAAAATATTTGACGACTCTTTGAGAGAGAATCCATGGGGAAAACCCAAAAAAACAAAAAACCTCGAGAAAACCAACAAAAAACAATATTTGGAGACTCTTTTGGAAAGCCCCATTGGCAAAATGAAAAAAACCTCGAGAAAACCAAAAAACCAAAAAAACAAAACTGTTCAGAGAATGTTTGGTCTGGCTCATGTTTGTTTTTTTTGGTTTTGCCTAGGTTTTTTGTTTTTTTTTGTCTTGACCTTGAAAAAACTAAAAAACTCAAGGATTTTTTGTTTTTCCCGAGAGCGTCTGAGCGCAGGGTTCTTCCAATAGTGGGGGTCTGTAAAACATCTTCTCATCTTCACATCTTCTCTCACATCTGCTCATCTTCACATCTTCTCT